CTCCTGAGCCTGGTTCCATTGGCTTGGCTGGGGTATGGCATGTGAGTTTAATGGTTTCAGTCCGGGCCAGGTGCTCACACCCCAGAGAATGGACTAACTGGCACCCTTGTAAGCTGCAGAGGCCAAGAACCGAACGGACTGGGATACGTGAACATCTTGCCCACGGAAGGGGTGGTCCCAGAAGAGGGGGGTACTCCATTGTGGCTGGGGGGGGGAAGGGAGGGAGAGAAATAGGAGGGAAGCTTCCCCTGCCACTACCTGTGCTGTGCCTGATCTATTTACTTATTGAATATTTAAACATGTATATTATATAGCCCCGTCCCCCAATAGGCCCAGCTACAAGCTGGGCCCCACGTGGCTAGGTACTGCACAAGCACAAGGGAATGAGGAATGTCAGTCTCTAGGGCTGTCGAGCACCTTTCCACCAGCACTGAAGTGTACACAGAGAACGCCTTCTGCAGTTAAGTCCATTAGCATCTTCCCCAACACCCCGACTATACCTAGGGACAACCGACGTGGCAGTGGCCACAGCAAGTTGTGCTAAAAGCAAAGGAACACGTCAGGCATGTTAAATTCATCCAACAAGCCACTGGAGATTCACCAAACTCCTGAAGTCCCATGTTCACTAGAGAATTCTGTACTTCCTACATGCCTGGTGGGGAGTGGGGAAAAGGAAAAACCAAAGCAGCACACGCCAGCCACCTGTCTCTTGAGAATGTGCAGTGTGTCCCGTGTGTCTAGCTTATGCTATCAAAGTTCAAACGGATGATCACTAAAACACACTGCCTCCCATACAGCACAGTGTCAAAGACAGGCGTGTTCCCTGTGTGTAGCAGACAGAGATTAGTCTCCAGTCCAAAAACATCCATGTCCAGCTAGTTCTGAACACTGGACAATTGGTACAAAGTTATTCCCTGGATGTGAGCAAAGAGTTGGACGTTACTTTGACTCCTGCTCAAGTCTTCAAAATGTCGCCCAAGACAGGTTGCCTGAACTGCGTAAGTGGAATCTATACTACTAGCACAATGGTACCCAAGACAATACAAGCTTGTCCTGTTTAAAAGCTCTATAGAGAAGAGCAACAAAATATCCTTTTGCAGGGTTTGTTTCTCTAAGACCGGCACTGAATTGTTGTGCCAGCACATTTCCATAGGTATTATATTCCATAACTGCTGAATGTTAGATTTTCCTCACCAAGGCATAGAGCCTTTCTAGTTAGTATCATGCGTGTTCACCAGAACTGGCTGGAAAATTTGAGCCAACAGCCCAAAGGCTGTTAAGCCAAATTCTCCCCGGTAGCATGTTTCTACAAAATCAGGTTTAGAAAGCAAAAAATAAATGAACAGACATTTTAAAAAGCCGTTGTACACAGAAAGGGAAGAAATGTTGCCTCTGATTTCAAAGTTAAACTAAAAGCAGACAAAGGCAAGTGGGAGGTTAGCTAGGATGAGACGAACCTGCCAATGTGCATGCACATCTTTGGCTGAAGTCAGCCCTCGGTTACACGCCTGAAGATTCTGGGGTTACATAAGGCAACTCCGCAGAGCTTAAGCCATTAGGTACAAGCAGGTCACTCAGGCAGCCTGAGGCACAAGTAGCAGACTCAGGTTTTAAAAGGAGGAGCAGAAAGCCTTGAGAAGGAGTTCATGGGACAGGTTTGTCTTCCCAAACCTCTGCTATCATACTACTGGCCCCTCCCCTCTAGCTCCAGTATTCTTAGAAAAGGGGACGACGAATGGCACCTAACTCCAGTATCCTGGTATCAAGAACAGCACAGTAGTGTGACCATCTCATTCCATGCCATTTGTGATCCATCTAAGGAGAAATCCTGGTTTCATGGACACAGATTGCCAAAAAAACATACCCATCTCATCGACTTTAGGGGAGACATTCTGACCCCACTGCTTTTAAACTCTGGCCTTGAAGGGTGTCTGTCTGTCTGTCTGTCTGTCTGTCTGACACACACACACACACCCCCCCCTTCTGGATTCTCTAACCCTCTGTAAACTTTGGTAGGAAAACAAATCTCCTCGACTGAGGTGTTGGGCACAATGTTTGGATTAAGGAAAAGATGGAAAGATGGCTGTTCAGAGAGTCACCCACTAAACTCACTTGAGCCAAAGACTATAGAGATATCTGTATTGGTACTTCACCAGTATCCTCATTCTAGCTGCCATATTCCCAAATTAAAAATCAGACTATGTGACAGGAAAGGAAGCGTCCAAACAGAATTTGTATCAGGAGAAAGTCACACCCATTTTCATGGTGGTGTCACAGGAATCCTCGCAGGGGACAGTGTTTAGAAATCTGTCATTGGATGCATTCCAAAAAATGTACTGTCTCTTCCAGAATCCCTTTATGAGCCAGGATAAGTTTTCCTCAGCTGAGTTTTCCCAGGACAATCCAGAGGGGGTGACTGTAAGTCCCATTAAGCAGAGAGAAGTCCCTTGCTACTTGAATTCCAACAGTGCTGACAAAACTGAGGAACTAGTTTAACAAGGCGCATATGCGTTTCCCATCATTCATTATTTCAGACTCCAATTCTTAAATCACTTTCGCAATAACCTGTCTTGCTTCTGACTGCCTATGCCAGTGCCATTCTACCAGCTTGCCATGCTTAATTAAACAAGGGGCAGAGGAGGGCCGTCGTCTTTCCCAGCCAACAAAGGTCACCTCCTCTTGGGAAGTGTCACTTCCTAGGTGGTTTCGCTCTAGCGGAAGAGGACGAGGCTTCTTGGCTCAGTCTCTCAGAACTGTCAAGTCAGTGACACACTTTGGCCTATGGGTGCAAACATTTCCATCCGAGATGGATCCAGATTGCACCAACTCAAGGTCCAAGTTGCTAGGCGGTTCTCCAGAACCCTACACGTTAACAGCCCTGAATGGGCACTGCGGTGCCACACTGAATGCAATGCCAACAGGCAGGAAAAATGCGACGCTGCAGAAAGTTTGACCTATGCTGCCTTCTCAAGTGACCCCCATTTCTTTGGCTGCACCCTCTATTTATGGAAGGGTGGTTTCCTCCATTCCCCCTTCCTCCCAGGGGCAGAAGGGTCCCATGGGCCTTCACCAAGCCACTAGCCCAATGCTCTGCTATTAACCAGTCACTTGGCAAGGCCTTTGGGACATGCACCAAGGAGGCGAGGTGCTGAGTCTCCTTTGGAATTTTTGACCAGTCGTAGCAATGGGCTCATTTGAGGGACAGAACCCTGGCCCCAGCATCCAACAGGAGAAGGGACTCAGCTCCTCGCACATCCCTGTAGCCTTGCTGCAAGGCATGAATCAGACCTGTTTTACAGGGTTAGCCGTGCCCGGATTCATTTGTGCAAGCAGGCTGATGGCAGAGTCGGGACCAGGAGTCAAGTCCTTTGACCCAGTCCAACCCCTAGTCAGCCAACCGTATTGAAAGCCAGGTTTAGACTCCAGGAGTCCTTAATCCTTGTCCCTGCTCTCTGCACCTAGACACTCAGTCACAAAAGGTCTCCAGCAGGCGGTTGTGTGACTGATAGCACAGCAAGGGGCCAAGTCTCCCTGCCTCTAGCCCACCCCTCCTAAGCATGGGCGCAGATGAACTGAAGCGCACAATGCATCCTAGGAGGGCTGATCAGGAGAGGTCCCAGGAGCATGGAAGCTTTCTCATGCTGCTGTCAGCATCCTGGGCAGGACCTGCCAGCGGAGATTATTCACCCGCAAAGAAATGTATTTTGCCTGTGTTGCAGGCCAGAGAACAAGTTTTAGGCCAGCTGTGTAATGACAGCAAGACCAGCTGGTAGTGAGCCTCCTTCCTGGACTCCCGCTGCCAGCAGGCTATAGTCCTTAAAGGCCAAGAGACCCAGACTGTACCCGTAAAGTCAGTGCCTCACCCAACAAGAACAAGTTCTGTATAACCACCTACGAGCTTGTGGGGTGTTTCCAGATGACAGGTTTTGGCCTCCTCCCCCATCTCATCCCCAGCGCTCACCAGAGTCACCACCCAGGTAGGAACTGAAATCAACAAAGACTTGAAAAGATGGTTGGAGATTCCTAACACACTGCTCCCTTTCCCCTCCTCCCCCCACTCAGTTCTCATGCACCAGCTTCCTTCTCTCTTTTAACCCTGGCCTATTCCAGGCAATCCATTTGCAGAACCCTAGACAACTGACAAAACACTGGTCTGACTGAAGATTCAGAGGATGCTGTGCAAAGGATGAACTGTGAGTAGATCTAGGGAAGGCAACATTATTATTCTGAAGGTCGAGGGTAAGGTTACCAGCAAGAAGCATTCAGAAGATTCTGTTAGTGCCTAAGCACATACATGACAAGTAAAATTCTAATTACAGCAGCAGTGCTCCAGATAAAATATTAATTTACACACACTTCACCAGTTTTTTACATTGCAAGAATGTCACATCTAATGTATAAACACCTTTAGGATTTCAAGCCCTTCCTGTTGGGTTTTTTCTTCCCCCTTTTAAAGTACTTTACAACCCGAACATGTAATCTGGATTCCAGTTTTCTTTGCAGTAGCCCCGCATATACAAACAAACAAACAAACAAACAAACAAACAATCCCACACCACAACCAGCAGTTAGCCCTGGTTGATCTATAAAATATGACAGAGAAAATTTACTTCAAGGTGTCCCCCGATGAAGGTGGGTAGAAGGAATCAGGCCAAAAAGTTAGAAGACCACTGCTTTTGTTGTTCATAAGTGCATCTTTCCCCCACCACAATGTACCATGATGGTTGTTTTTAAAGCATTCCAAGTTTGAAGCTGGGAAAATCCAGTACCTGCTGTTTTTATATTGTCCCTTTGGATTTATATATATAAAAATCACCAGCATTACCTGCAATTGATTTACGTATCTGAGAAACCAGTCAGCTGTAGAAGCCACCAGTTCACAAACCCCTCCAGGGCAATTAAATTTTGAAAGGGGGGGGGGCAGAAATATGATTAAAGAAAGGCCCAAGCCTCTGTTTGTAGTTAATGGAAAAGGGAGAATAAAGACACTGCATTCTTACCTTCAGCCAGCACTTCATCCACCGTCACCTGGTATCTCCCAATATGGAACACCCTGCCAATGTACCCACTCCCTGGTCCGCTAGAACTGCCGCTTCCACTACTGGTACCAGAACCAGGGCCAGAACCCCCCAGCTCTCGACGAGAGTCAAAAAACTTCTTCATCTCCCCAGAGATATAACTGTATTATAATCAAAGGCGATGTTATTTTCCAAGGTCCAATATTTTCCCCTTCTTGATTCCAGCCAATTAAAATAATCCACTCCCAGCGGTGATTTTTGCTTGTTTGTTTTAAGTAGGGCAGATGATTTTCCCCCTCCTCCTGGCAGGCAGAGCTTGTAAGATTTAGACCTGTAATGACAGTATCAAAACAAGGGAGGGGGGAGGACAAACAATTACAAATACTTAAAAAAAATCAGCCAGACCCTGGACAAAATTAAAACCCCCAAAGATGTTCCCACCATTCCCCTAAATATTAACAGACAAATTCTTGCACTCCTCCCACCAAGCACTGCAAGCAGTTGGTTATAAAAGAATGATGCACCTCTCCCTGGATCCCTGCCCCCCATTCACACACACCTAGGAGCTAAGGGGAAGGCTGCCCCAGCCCTTTACTGCAGAAAGGCTGGACCTACCCAGCTAGCAACTTGGCCACAATGTTACCATTGCTGCAGCCGCTCTACGAGCCCTGGATGAAACACTGTTATAAGGTACCATTGCCACTCAGGGAGGCTAACAGCAGCTGATAGCCAGAGACCATTACAGGCTGAGCCTGCTCCAGCCCCCCCTCTGCTCCAGCTCCATCCAACCAGGAAATGAACTGTCACAGGAAGTCCCTGCTTCAGGGAGGGTGGGTGGAGTGGGGAGATGGTGCCTGGGTGATTTCCCATCCCCCCACCAGCTTTTTTTTAACCCCTTAATCCCCAGCATGAGTCTCCCGCCTGCAAACAGGTTTCAGGTGACGAAACAAGGCAAAGGGCTGGGAGGGGCAGGAGGGAGGTGGGGGGCTCAGATCCAGCATTAAAGCAGCAGCCCAGGAAACTGGGCATCAAAGAGTGTTTTTTTTAAACTGCAACAGACCTCTGTCGCATGGCATTCTGGGAGTGGTAGTTCTCCCGGGTGGCAGCTCCGGCCAGCTGTGCAGCGAGAGGGACTACAATTCCCATAATGCACCAGGAGAGGCGCTTGCGTGGGGGGTTGAGAGTAAAGCGTGGTGGAGAGTTTAGTTGTCACCCTTGTTCAGTGCCCCCTCTTTGGTGTGGGTTTGATTAATTAATGAGTATAAAAGCAATTTCCCCTCCTCTTCTCCCCTGCCAGACTTACAGCAGGGGCGCCTGGGAGTTGTAGTTTCTCTGGACCCCACCATGGCAGCACCAAGAGGGACAGCATCCTGGCCGGAAAAGCAGAGAGAACCCGTGAATCGCAGAACTATAGGCCTGGGAACGACCTCCAGAGGTTATCTAGTCCAGGCCCCTGTAGTGTTCTCCAGTGGACCTGATTTCCTGGCATCCCCCATCCTGCTTTGTAGGAGTTTATCTACTCAGCCTCCTTAAACAGTCAGCCAGCTGCTTAAGCAAAACGAACAGGCTCTGTTGGAATTGGGAGAGCAGGGCTGTGCCTGAGCCATGTGAGCTGTTTGCTTTGGAATTGGGAGAGCAGGGCTGTGCCTTAGCCATGTGAGCTGTTTGCTATAGCTGCACTTTTTAAAAAACAAATGTCACTGTAACAGTCACAAATCTTCAGCGAGATGCAGGGCTTGCGATTTTTCTCCTGAGCCACGGAAGATGCTGGGGTTTCATAAAACCCCCACACCTGGGAAGCATGTAATTAGGAGAGACTATCACTTTTTTTTAAATCAAAGCTAAGTTCCTAGCCTTCATGCCGGATACAACTAACTAACTCCCTTCCAGCCCTGCCCCCCAGCCAGGGCAGCATTCCCCCTTCCTTTGTTCCTCTCCATGGGGGGTGTCTGGTTCAACAAGTTTGGCATCACCTTTGCATAGTGAGGTTTTCCCTGCTGGGTCTTGCTCCAGACAGCAGAGGTCACCACAGCCCAGCAAGTACCCCCACTACGTCACATATAGCTGCACTTTTTAAAAAACATGTCACTGTAACAGTCACAAATCTTCAGCGAGATGCAGGGCTTGCGATTTTTCTCCTGAGCCACGGAAGATGCTGGGGTTTCATAAAACCCCCACACCTGGGAAGCATGTAATTAGGAGAGACTATCACTTTTTTTTAAATCAAAGCTAAGTTCCTAGCCTTCATGCCGGATGGCGGCATGGCCTGATTGTGCCTCAGAAGTTCAGAAGACAAGAGGGCAAGCAAAAAGAATCCAAAGTTTATCATTTTTAATCCCGTGGTTTTTAAGCCAATCTCAAGATTTTTTGTAGTTTGGCTTATGAATGTTCGGAGTTGGCAAGACTCATTATTTGTTATTCTATTATTTCTTTTTCATGGCATCAAAGAGTTGAAGGCCAGAAGGGACCACTAGATCCCCTGTGTACCAGAGGCCACTCACCAGGCTTCTGGAAAGGGGAGGGGGTGACCCTGTGCTCCCAGAAGGGGCAGGGCCTCAGGCTGTAAGAGCAGGGATGGGGGGGCAGGACCAAGGTATCTGAGCTTCATTGCCACCGGGACCACACCCCCACCCCTTCAGCAGCATCTGGAACGGCAATTTAAAGAGCCCTGGGTGTCCAGCCACTGCTGCTGCCGCAGTAACAGTGGTGGTGGCACGTGCCTTAGGCCCCTTTGCCCCTCCCTGTCAGCAGGCCTGCCTACCATCAAATGCTGGGAGGGCAAAGGCGAGGGGGTGCCAAAGAGTACCATTTGGCCTAGGGCCAGTCCTGGATGGCTGGTCCACAGCTCCCCCCAGCGAGCCCCCAAAATTTGCCACTGCAGTAGCTAGTCTAGCTTCACAGGGCAGGGTGGGTGCTGGATGTCAGCTCTTTCCCCACTTTCTAATGCTAACTCGCAGTGTGATCCTGAGCACGTCACGTCCGTGCTCAGTGCCTGTGTTTCCTGTCTCCCACCCTGTGCTTGCCTCTGTTTACACTGAAAGCTCCTTGGGGCAGAAGGTGTCTTACAGCACCTAAGACGGGGCAGGTCAGCCCACCAAGCCTTTGGATTCAGCCCGTGGGGGGCCATGTGGGGTGACTTTGCACGCACGCCTACACACACATACACCCCATGCAGCACAATCATCGCAACTCCTATTGGCTGGTACAGAGAGTCTTGTTGTCACAGAAATAACATCAACACATTACTAACCTATTCTTCTCTGTGTGCCAGTCTGGTTCACCAGGCTGGTGAGGGGGGAGAGTTTTTAGGGTTTGTTTAATGTAAATAGAAGCTTTGGCCTTGGTCTGCTGGGTCACCCTTGGTCAGTGGTCACCAACCAGTCGATCGAGATCTACCAGTAGATCTTGGAACCTCTGACAGGGGATCCTGACGGGTTTGGCCGGGAAACTCTCAAGAGCTGGCACTTCAGTTGCCCCTCCCCCACTGTCATGCTGCTCCTGCCCTCTGCCTTCGGCTGCCCCTTGGAACAGTCAGCCAGCTGCTTAAGCAAAACGAACAGGCTCTGTTGGAATTGGGAGAGCAGGGCTGTGCCTTAGCCATGTGAGCTGTTTGCTATAGCTGCACTTTTTAAAAAACAAATGTCACTGTAACAGTCACAAATCTTCAGCGAGATGCAGGGCTTGCGATTTTTCTCCTGAGCCACGGAAGATGCTGGGGTTTCATAAAACCCCCACACCTGGGAAGCATGTAATTAGGAGAGACTATCACTTTTTTTTAAATCAAAGCTAAGTTCCTAGCCTTCATGCCGGATGGCGGCATGGCCTGATTGTGCCTCAGAAGTTCAGAAGACAAGAGGGCAAGCAAAAAGAATCCAAAGTTTATCATTTTTAATCCCGTGGTTTTTAAGCCAATCTCAAGATTTTTTGTAGTTTGGCTTATGAATGTTCGGAGTTGGCAAGACTCATTATTTGTTATTCTATTATTTCTTTTTCATGGCATCAAAGAGTTGAAGGCCAGAAGGGACCACTAGATCCCCTGTGTATCAGAGGCCACTCACCAGGCTTCTGGAAAGGGGAGGGGGTGACCCTGTGCTCCCAGAAGGGGCAGGGCCTCAGGCTGTAAGAGCAGGGATGGGGGGGCAGGACCAAGGTATCTGAGCTTCATTGCCACCGGGACCACACCCCCACCCCTTCAGCAGCATCTGGAACGGCAATTTAAAGAGCCCTGGGTGTCCAGCCACTGCTGCTGCCGCAGTAACAGTGGTGGTGGCACGTGCCTTAGGCCCCTTTGCCCCTCCCTGTCAGCAGGCCTGCCTACCATCAAATGCTGGGAGGGCAAAGGCGAGGGGGTGCCAAAGAGTACCATTTGGCCTAGGGCCAGTCCTGGATGGCTGGTCCACAGCTCCCCCCAGCGAGCCCCCAAAATTTGCCACTGCAGTAGCTAGTCTAGCTTCACAGGGCAGGGTGGGTGCTGGATGTCAGCTCTTTCCCCACTTTCTAATGCTAACTCGCAGTGTGATCCTGAGCACGTCACGTCCGTGCTCAGTGCCTGTGTTTCCTGTCTCCCACCCTGTGCTTGCCTCTGTTTACACTGAAAGCTCCTTGGGGCAGAAGGTGTCTTACAGCACCTAAGACGGGGCAGGTCAGCCCACCAAGCCTTTGGATTCAGCCCGTGGGGGGCCATGTGGGGTGACTTTGCACGCACGCCTACACACACATACACCCCATGCAGCACAATCATCGCAACTCCTAGAGGCACCCGCAGCCAACTACTTTGAGTGGTCTGGGACTGTGGCAGGCACAGAGTCTGCCTGAAGTTCCCGCTGGGCTGCTGGCTGGGAGCTGTCAAGGGTAAGTGCCTCCTCGCCAGAGCCTGCCTCTGGTACTTTGCCTCATCCCATATCCGAACTCCCTGCCCTAGGTCACTACTCAAGAACTCCCTCCCAGACCCTGCACATCTTCCTACACCACTCCCACAGGCCAGAATCCTCTCCTGCATCCATACCCCCTCCCTGACTATGCACCCCCTGCTGCACCCCAATCCCCTGCCCCAGCTCACAACCCCCTCCTTTACCCAAACTCCCTCTCAGACCTGCATCCCTGTTCCCTAGCCCAAGCTCCCTTCTGCACCCAACCTCCATCCCAGACCCTCCATAGAAGAGGCCGGCCCTTGACCACTTACCGAAATCTCAGAGTGGCTCCCAATCAAAAATTATCGCTCACTCTGGCATAGGACAATGGGCCCCAATTTTGGCTGAAGCCTGAAATTTCTCTTGTCACAGAAATAACATCAACACATTACTAACCTATTCTTCTCTGTGTGCCAGTCTGGTTCACCAGGCTGGTGAGGGGGGAGAGTTTTTAGGGTTTGTTTAATGTAAATAGAAGCTTTGGCCTTGGTCTGCTGGGTCACCCTTGGTCAGGGGTCACCAACCAGTCGATCGGGATCTATCAGTAGATCTTGGAACCTCTGACAGGGGATCCTGACGGGTTTGGCCGGGAAACTCTCAAGTGCTGGCACTTCAGTTGCCCCTCCCCCACTGTCATGCTGCTCCTGCCCTCTGCCTTCGGCTGCCCCTTGGAAGCTTCCTACTTGCTGTGCAGGGTGTGGGAGAGAGAAGGGGGGGCTGATGTCAGGGTGTCCCTCCTCCCCCCACTCCTGTACCCTGTATCCACAGAGAGGGGGGGGTGGAGGGAGCTTGGCAAGGCAAATCTCTGTCACTCTCACGCACTGTGTGTGTCTCTGTCACTCACAAACACACACTGTCCTTCCCTCTCATCCCCTGACCCCACACGTACATGGGGGGTTGTTGCTACTTTTACTGCTGGCAAAGTGGGTTCTGTTTAGTGTTTGACTGGACTGTGCATTTCGTAACTTTCATTTCTCTCTTACACTTAAATTTAA